ACTTTCCTTCCCTGAAGCGCCACCACAGCTTGTATGAGAAAGCTGTAACAATGTCCCTAAGGCGGCGGATGCCAAGGCCACCCTCTGGGAGGGGGCGGCAGATAGAGTCCCAACTCACCCAGTGAGTACGTCTCCCCCTCCCAGACCCGTCCTCATAACCCCAGAAATAACGAGCCATAATCTGGTCAAGCTCGTCAAGAGTAGACCTAGGGGGGTCGAGGACCATAAGCAAGTGAATCGGAAGAGAGCTAAGAGTGCTCTTGATCAGCGCTAGCCGACCACCGAAAGAAAGATGTCTATGCGACCAACCAGAGATCCTGTCGATCATCCTCTGCCTGACGCCCGCAAAGAGCGCTCTCGTGAGGTTGCCCTTATATAAAGGGACCCCGAGGTAGGTAATGGGAAGGTCGCCACGCGCAAAGCCAGTAGTGTCGTGGACCCGCTGAGCCCACCTGTCCACTGTGGCAGATGAAAGGATGAAGGTGCTCTTCTGCACGCTGACCAGCTGACCGGTGACCAAGCCATAGTGCTCCAAAAGGCGCATGAGCTCGACCAGTCCATCATCATCCGCCCGGGTGAAGATAATGATGTCATCCGCGTAGGAAATGTGAGAGACGGTAGGACCATAGCCACAGGTGCTATAGGTCATGTGGGGAGAGTCGCGGATGAAGCCGTCAAGGCATCGAGAGAGGTAGTCCGCCGCAAGGACAAATAGGGAAGGGGAAAGAGGGTCGCCCTGTCTAAGGCCTCTAGAAGAGGGAAAGAAATCGGTGGGGCTGCCATTAATCAGGACCGAGAACGTGCAATGCTCCACACACGCCTCCACAAAGCTGATCCAACGCTCAGGGAATCCCATCCTAGCCAACGCCTCCCTAAGAAACGGCCACTCAACCCTATCATACGCCTTAGCCATGTCCAGCTTCAGCGCGATATTCGGAGCCCGCTTCCAGTCCGCTCGGGAGATGTCGTGGATCATCTCCTGGGCCAAAAGGATATTATCACTAATGACCCGATCCTTGACGAATCCACTCTGGTTCGGAGAGATGAGAGAGGGGAGAAGGGGGGAAAGACGGCCATTAAGAATCTTCGAAATGAGCTTGTTGGTCACGTTACACAGGCTGATGGGCCTGTAATCGGACCAAGAGCTCGGGTTGGGTCGTTTGGGGATCAAGACGACAGAGGTAGACGTGAAGGAGTCCGGCATCCGGTGGCTGGAGAAAAAATCCAACATCGCCTCCTGGACGTCAGTCTCGACAATATCCCAGCAGACCTGATAGAAGAGGGAGGAGAAACCATCCGGGCCAGAAACGCTGTTGGGATCAATCCCGAATACAGCATCCCTAACCTCCTCCCTGCTCGGGAGCTCACAGAGGCCAATGAGATCGACCGAAGGAGGGATGGTGGGGAAAAAACAAGCGTTCGGGGCCGCGAGGGACCCTCTGTCAGAGGTGAAGAGGGTCTGGAAGTGAGCAACAGCCGACTCCCTAATCTGAGCCTCCTGAGTCAAGGATGACCCATTAGCCTCGATGCTATGGATGTACGACTTAGCACGCTTCTGCCTAACGTAGCCCTGGAAGAACCTAGTGTTCCGTTCGCCCTCGGCCACCCAGCGAACGGCCGCCTTCTGCTTCCAGAAGTCCTCCTCCATAAGGAGTCGGAGCTGGTACTCGGCGTGGCAGCGGTGCATGGCGGTCCTATTCTCCAGAGTGGGGTCCAGGTCATAGGCCCGCTCAGCCGACGCATGCGCACCCTGAGCTGCAGTAAGGCGGTGATGAAGGTTTCCAAAGACATCCCAGTTCCACTGTCTCAACCGACGCCGCAGTCTGCCAAGCTTCGCCTCGAGATTGCGCATCCCGAAGAGCCCAGTCAGTTGAAGCCAGGAATCCCTGACAGTGTCGTGGAAGGAGTGGTGGCGAACCCACATGTTTTGGAACCTAAAGGAAGCGCGGCGAGGAGTGCTCGAAAAACGACATCTAATGAGGAGGGGTGAATGGTCAGACCCAAATCGAGTGAGGTGCGTGACGGTCGTGACCGCAAACACCTTCGACCACGCTTCAGAAATCAAAGCACGGTCGAGCCTCTCCTTGAGGTTGTCCCTAACCCACGTGAAGGGCTCCCCCTCGCATCCAGCATCAAGCAACTCGCAGTCCGCCACAGTCTGCGCAAAATCCCACATCTCTCGGGATCTGTCCGTGCAGCCACCCACGCGCTCATCGGGGTGCAGAAAGATGTTAAAATCGCCACTAACCATCCATGGCAATCCCTCCATACTCTCGGCAATCTCACGCAGGGTGTCCCAAAGATCATATCGCCCGACCCTAGTACACTTGGCATAAACCAAGGTGTGAAAGATGGGCTCCGGAAGATGGGCAGCGGAAATCTCTACGTGAAGCACCTGATCGGTGTCGCAAAGGACCCGACAAGTGTAGTCACGCGAGTGGAAGAAGAAGATCTTGTGCGAAATATTACCCACGCCCGAATGGAAGCCCAGACGACGCGAGTAGTGGTCAAAAGAAGGAGTGCGAATCATCGGCTCAATAAAGCCAACAAAATTGACTCTGTGGTCACGAATGAGAGAATGAAGGTGAGAAAGAGTAGCTCTGTTCGCCAGGCCACGGCCATTCCAAGTAATGGATGTGATGGACATATCAACGGTCGCAAGAGCCACCGGACGTAGTCCGCCTATGGCGAGGCTGATTCGGGCCACCTAAAGAATGGAAAGTCATCCGTCGTGTCGTGCGGCGGAAGGGTCCAATAGCAGGGGAGATCGTCCGCCGTCTCGTATGCAGCATGGCTCTGGTCCTCGAGGCCTGTCTGCCTCGGTATGTACTCGTAGCCTGTGAGTCGTCTGGCTGGACAGACTGACCTATAGCAGCATTAGCGGGTTGTCCCATCTCCGGGGCTGTCTCCCGTCTGTCAAGTTGAAGAAAAGCACTAGAGGCGAAGCTCTCGCACGAGACGTCATGCTGCGCGCGGTTGAGCCCGCATATCTACTCGAGGATGGGCGAAAGAGGGGGTCCAACAGGCAGAGCGCTCGGGTGCTCGCCGGTAGGAGTGGGCTGAGAGTTGGCTATCAGCTCGACCGAGCTCCGAGTCTCAGCAGGGATGGGGTGGGCCGACTCATCCCCTTTCAGGGGGGCGGTGGCGGCAGTAGCCCTCGAATCCGAAGATCGGACCGGGCTAGATGCGCGCACGGTCAAAGGACCGGCATCGCGTGCACTATCGTCGGATAGATGGATGGACTCTCTCCTGGTCATGCCGTCCGGCTGATCCATGTCGTCTCCAAGGAGGTCATCGTCATCCAGAAGCGTAAGGTCGGTAATCTTAGTAGGCCTGCTGGAGGAAGGAATAGCTTCCTTCTCCGCCTCAGGGGAGAGAATAGCAAAGTAGGAGTGATTGGCCTTGAAGGCCGTCTGTAAGGTCTGTCTAGGAAGAAAGCCCGTGGACTTGGGCTTGGGACCCGCTAAGACCAACTGCTTAGGCTGGTTAGGATCGGCATCCTTCCCAGTTTGGGCAGTATCGACAATCACAGCCTTGCCCTTATCCTTAGACCCCTTCGGGGTCTCGGGCTTGCGAAGAGGGCTTTTGCCCTTTCCCTTCGAGTCCCTCCGGCTGGTGGAGGGCCCCCGCTGAGTCGCGCGGTGGCGCTGCGGGAGAGCGGGCCGTGGCTTATTGCCACTGATGTAGCAATCGGCCGCAATGTGACCCACATGGCTGCACGAGGTGCAGAACGCTGGGATCTTCTCGTAGATCACCCGCTGAACAAAAGATTCCGAGCCCTGTTCAATCTCAATCTCATGAACGAGCTCAGCTCTCAGATCAATCTCAACGCAAAATCGCACCACATTAGCCCTCGTTTGAAGGGCTGTCGGGGCGTCGATACGAATCGGCTGCCCAATACACTTAGCTAGTGTAGTGATGGCAGCACGATCATAAAGATGGGGTGGGAGGCCGGGAAGGCGACACCACACGGGGACAACCGGCGCCTCCGTCTTCGGGTTAAACCCGGCTTAATATTTGAATACCCTAGCTGGGCATCCACATAAATGAATGGAGGTCTTAAGCCAGACCTCATTATAGTCCTCGGGAAGATGGAACGAGACTAGAAGGTGGTTGAAATTATACCACTTCGACGACACTCTACCCTTAAAACCCAGTTTTCCTAACCCAGCAGATATGTCTCGGGGAGCGGGGATAGCATATGAAAACTTAAAGACCAGAGTGTTAGCTAGCTTACCTGCAAGCGAGACAGATTCGGCTTCAGTGTATCGGGCCTTCACCTTGTTTCCCTCCGAGCGGATGATGGTTCCGCAGGCATGTTCGTATTCCCCGTCAAAGGTGAAATCTTTGGGCGTCGTACGTGGGCCGCCCGTGTCACCATTTTTCTTCCCCGTAATAACCTCTCGGAATGAAAGTGGGCCAGTGGCGGTGGTCGAGAGTGGTGGTGGGCCGTTTGTAGTGTGGTTCGCCTCGGGGGAGCCCGTCGACGGTGTTTCGGTCGGTGGATTTCCGTTATGATTGGCCACGTGTTTCGAGCTTGGACCCGTAGTATGGACACCGTCTTCTCTCGCATACAAAACGGCCGTTTCAGATTTTTCGGCGGTAAAAGAAACTACTCCGTCAAGGTAGTCGGTCGTGGAGGTGGGATTTGGCCGGGGTCCTAGAATTCCGGCCGTAAGAGCCGATTTCATAGCCTCCCCCGATAAAGTGCCGTCCGAAGGTGATTTACCGGTGGCCGTGATGTCCTTGTTTGCTCCGGCGTGGCCGCCGGCAAAGTGGCCGTCCTCTGACTGTCGGGTAGAAGGTACATTTGGTTGGCAGTTGAGGATATTGTCGTGTTTGGTTTTGGGGGAGTCATCCTCGGTGGTGGGCTGGGGATTGAAAGGGTGGTTGGGCTGCATAGAATGGGCTTGAGGTTTAAAGATATTGGGATCGGGCTGAAGGAGTGTTTGTTTAAATGGTTGAGGAAGTGTTGAGTTGTTATTGGGCCCAAAATGAACTTGGCCCAAAGATGGGTTGATTGAAACGGAGTGATATTGCAGCTGAGGGTTGCAATTATCTGAGGCGCCGCTATTCACTGTATGCACCATTTTTGACAACACCGGTAAAGAGCCGAAATGAACTGGAAGACAACTCTGATTTGCGACATCCACGGAGTCGGCGGCGAACAATCGCGAAGTGACCGGCGGATTGCCATTGGAGGACCCGGTGACTGGTGCTTCGATTTTTGGACCGTTGTGTTCTGCCCGATTAAAATCCGAGCTACCAGCAACGGGAAGGTCGTGAATCTTTGTATCCTTTAATATTTTTCCGGATTTACCTTGGACTTCTTGCCTGACCGGTGGGGTAGCCTCCGACGCTACAGTACCATTGACAGGACTTTGGATTTCGCGGCGATTGAGACCTGGGATTCCGGCAACGAGAGCTAGGTTAGTTATCATACGTTGCTAGGTTAGTTACATCTAGTTGCAAAGTCAGTTTAACTCACATCCTACTAGAAAGCATACATTACATATAAATTAGAGTCAAGACAAGGGAAATGTTTGCGTACCTGTTAGTGTTGTAGGTTGCGTCAAATGAAACAACATCTCCAAACATGAGGTAATTTTTTCTTGAAATCTGGTCAGCCCAAAAGATCCTGCTTAATTGATTATTTTCATCCACAGCATATTCAAATGCAATGTCCGGGTAAACTTCCTGCTTGTTGAGAAATTTCTGAATGATGAGTTGTGCATCTGCCCCTGACATGTAAGTCATAAGTTCTCTTTTGAAGTTTTTGAAATCAATTGCCAGAGCACCAACATTTTCATATCCTCCAATCATTTCCTTGTATAACCTGTGTGTTTTAGCAGGTCCAATGTTGGCTTTTACACAATTAAGGACAAACTTCTGATGGTCATAGTTCAGTTGCCTGTTTGCATTCAAATAATGTGCTTCCAACGTCAAACTGTGGCTGTGTTTCTCTTCGAAATATGTAATTTTGTATCCTTTTCCATCATCGTATTCAAACACTGCCCGAGCCATGCAACCAATTCTTTTTGAAACACGTTCTCGATGAACTCCNG